AAGTTTGTGTTGCTTCAGGATATCTGATATAGGATAGAAAGTACCATGGGGAAAGTTGCCAATTTGGAGCCTATGTTCTATTTCAGCGGTTTATATGGCATTTGATTATAAATTTGGATAGAGATTGGGTGTTAAGTTTATGGCCACTTTTGCTATTACCCTTTTAAGTTTTGAATTCCGATATTCTGTCTTTTTTTAGTTTTTATATGGTAAATCCAGTCTAAATGATCTGCTTTAATTTGTTAATAATGCAGTACTTCTCTTGTACACAACTAAGGTCTGATGCAGTATATTCTAACCCAAAATACGAGAATATGTGATTTTCATTTATTTTTAAACTTCTTCCAATTCAAATCCTAAAACAATGATGCATCTTGTTAAGGTGCTGGATTTATATCTCTCTATTCATTCATGTTTCTTCATTAACCCCTTTTTTAATATTATCTATGTAAACTGTGGTCTCTTTTAGCATTTGGTGGCAATAAGACTTGTTACCTTTTATCTAGGTCTCTGTTCGTCACGTAGTGTTTATGATCCATGGTATTGGTCAAAGGTTGGAGAAATCTAATTTGGTGGATGATGTTACTAGCTTTCGCCATGTAACAGCTTCCCTTGCCGAACAGCACCTTACGTCACATCAACGTGACACTCAAAGAGTCCTTTTCATCCCATGCCAGGTAAAGAGTATTTCTTCTCTACCAAGTTGACTCTTTTCACTTTGTGGTTTTGTTCTCTTGTTGATAATAATCTCTGTATCATTTTTAATTAAAATATGTATTGTATTTGACCTGATTTTGATGAATTTAAGACCATAAGACATTTGCATGAACTTGCTTACTTCAATATTTATTTGTATTGACTTAAAATGTTTCACCTATGCTCAGCATTCTCATGCACATGCTTTGTGTTAGCAGTCACTTTATTCATCATCCTATCTAATTCAATGTATATTACATGTTTCTTTCGTTTGGATTTTATCATCTTTGTTTAGCATTTTCTTCTCTTTTATATTTTCGTATTACATTTCCTTTGTCTTGTATTAACTGTTAACATTTATGTATTGTATTGTACATCACCTGTTATTTATTATGCAGTGGCGAAAGGGCTTGAAGCTCAGTGGTGAATCTGCTGTTGATAAAATCACTATAGATGGTGTGAAGGGTTTGCGTGTGATGCTTAGTGCCACTGTTCACGATGTATTATACTACATGAGCCCCATATACTGTCAGGCTATAATTGACTCGGTACAGTATGACCTATTCTTAATTTTTATTTTAAAAAAAAAATTAGTATTTTCTAGAGTCCACCTGCTGAGTCTGAAATGCTTCTTTTACTCTGTTTACTTGATGAAAATTTGGGATTTGATTTGTGATCCACAACAGCCTCACTGAAAAACATAAAAATATATTATGGAGTGAGGATACTATCAGATATTGATATGAATTAGAATCAAAGTATTGATGATCAAGTAGGTCATTGTAGGCATTATCAAGCATCCAGATTTTACCCTTTTTCAGGGAATTATTTTGTTGCTTTCCACTGATGATAGTTAAAGGCTTCAATTCAGATATTGTGTTTTTCTTGACTGTGGTGTTGTATTTTCTTACTCTGAATCCATTTTTATAGGAATTTGAAATGTTTGCCGGAATTTTCTCATAGCTTTAAAGCATTGCTTTCTGAGAATCAGGCTATTTAGATCAAGTCAGAAACATATTTTAAATTGATTTTGATGGATGATTCTTCTCTTCCAGGTTTCAAACCAATTAAATCGGTTATATTTAAAGTTCCTTAAACGGAATCCTGGTTATGATGGAAAGGTAAGTGGCTGCTTGAGAGAGTCAGGCTATTTAGATCAAGTCAGAAACATATGCTGCTTCAGTACTTGTTTTTCTTTTATTCTTTTAATGTTCTAATAATGATGCAAATAATTTCTATAGGTTTCCATTTATGGGCATTCTTTGGGAAGTGTCCTCTCCTATGACATCCTATGTCACCAAGAGAATCTCTCCTCCCCATTTCCAATGGATTGGATGTATGAGGAACATTCTAGAAATGTTGAATGTTCCCCAAATACGAATAACCTATCCATCAAGTGTGGCATTCCAAACAGTCTAGATATGAATCAAACTAAGGGTATGGCAGGCTATGTTGAGGAAAAGATAGTGGTTGCAAAATCAAATGTGTTTATACATGAGGATAGACATGATGAATTTTCTGCAGGTGGCGGTCCTATCACGTCTGATATAAATGCAATTACTACAAGGACTGGGAGTAAGGACCCTGTGCTAACAAGTAGTGAGGAAGATGTTCATCAACTAGTTGGTGATTTTGGTCACATCCCCCCCCAAGAGGAGGGTGGTCTGGATGAATCTAAAAACGTGAACTGTTCTGCCTCAGCAAGTGGTTTGGAGAAGATGGCTGAGGAGGAACGTGATGGTTCCAGCGACAAGGAGGAAAAGTTCAAATCGATGAGGGAAGAGGTATGATTTGTGAAAATACTTCACTTGATTTTATAATAGTGAAGTACAATTCTTTTGGTTGCATAGAATATGACCGATTCCTCATTTGGTGAAGATTGTGAAGTATATCCAATTCTGTTCCCTAGAAAAGAAAAGAGATAAAAACAACAAACAAAAAAAAAAATGTATTCTGAAATCTCTGAATGCATATGAAATGTGCCCATGATGTTTATGTGCTAATAGAAGTTTGTGTTGTTTAACTGCTTCAGATGGATTCCTTAAAAGCAAAAATAGCTGAACTGGAATCACAATGCAAATATGGGGATACAGGTGGTATCTTGCTTCAACATAATTGATCTCACATTCTATATTTGGTTCTCTTATGGAGTAATTCTTATTGAGGTTCTGATCCTCTGACAGAAAATAAGGAGCTGATTTCAACCTCACTACAGAAACCTGTATCTCAGAGGAACGAGGGCAAGCTTCAACCAGAGCTAGATCACAGGCTAGAAAGCCATACTCCTTATATCAGATACACAAAGCTTGAATTCAAGGTCCAAAAAGAACATGACTTCTCCTTGTTATGCAACTTTATTGTTTTCTAAATAGAGTAGTTTGCTCCGTAGTTATATATTATTGTCTCTAGAACTTGTCACCAATTGATGGCAGCTTTTATATGGCAGGTTGATACATTCTTTGCGGTAGGATCACCTCTTGGAGTCTTCCTTGCCCTTAGAAATATTCGTCTTGGAATTGGTAATACATAGATCTATATTAAGCTTTCATGTGCTTCAAACCTTGGTGAATGAATACGTTTTACACATTGGAACAGAACTTAAGGATAAATCTTTCATCTTTCAAATTGTTATTATATGATTAGTTGGCTGGACGGAATGATGAAAATAGAGCCTTTGCATTTTTTTATTGAGCCACAAGATGTACAACCATCTGATTAAATCCCCTCACTTTCTTTTGGCTGTTTCTTGTTAAATTTATGCTATGTCATTTGAGGTTGACAGTTTTCCTGATTACTTTAGTCACTTAAGGAATATTTTCTTTCTGATAGCTACGCCTATATATTTTCACGTTGTTCAAATGTTTAAATGCCTTTTTTTTTTCTTCTTTTCTTTGTTCTGAATTTGTTCTCACCCCTTCATCAACCTATTACATTATCCTGCACCTGCAGCGCCACTGAAATTTTTTCTTACCATCCCTGTTCCCAGTGCAATGATATCCAATCTTCCTGTCACTTGAACCAACTTGTTTGGGGAATTCTGGTACATGTTCAGGACATGGCAAAATGCAACCCTTAGTTTTAGTTGTGTAGACATGGCAAAATGCAACTCCTAGTTTTAGTTGTGTAACACTTTTTGCCTTGGGTCAGCAGCTACACACTGATTTGCAATTTATGCTAAATAAATTTCTGACATCTTTTGATGCTTTGTCCTCACCTCCTTCCCTATTAAAGCCAAACATAGCACAACACTTTGATTCTTTTTGTGGACCTGAAAAAAAAAAAAAAATCAATGCTTTTGTGTTTTAAGAGTTTTTGATTTGACATTATTTATTTTGTAGATATCTTTTCTTTTCTTATTTCAATATTTTTTCT